GGGGTCAGTAGGGGGCCCCATGAAATGCCCCTGGTACTTTTTCATAGGCTTTTTTGAGTTTGGGCAAGGACACAGGGGCCCCATGATCCCCTATTGCCCGGGGGCCCCATGAGTTGTCAGTCCGCCCCTGTGTACAAGAGATACGCATACATGCTGTGTCATGTCATTAGGGTGCCGGCTGCAAGAATTTGGAAGAGACAGGCAGCTCCTCTGATGACATACAAGAGGAAGATGGCAGCACGGGAATGGACCTGTAGGAGGAGAGCAGTGCAGGAAAAGAGGACAATGCTGGATCTGTTGGACTTGTAAATATATTTATGCAGCATAGAAAGAAGTCAAGAGGTAAAGGGTGCATTAACATTCACTAATTCTTTGGGAGGGAGGATAAACTTTCACTTTTAGGTATGAATTATTTCATAATACCTGCAGTTACAGGGGTCGGTGATGGCTTGTTTTAAAGCTCTTTTACTGCCTGTTTAGAATGTATACATTCTTCAAAGTCACAGCCTGGCCACAGGTTCACCATAAGGTACATGTGTCAAACTCTGGACTGCCAGGCCATTTCATGTGGCCCTTACACCTCTCCTGGAGCTGTGGCACTCCCCTAGTCTCCAACCCCTCGCCTGGTCTCAGCAGTCGGCAGTCAGACAATAGAACTCCTACAGATTCTGTGCAGCCACAAAACCCTATAGTCTCTGCCTTCCCTAGTCTCAGCATTCAGCACACCTTGGCAGCTGACTGACTCCTGGCCCTTGGGGGGCACTTTTGGTGGCCTGGACATTGTACTATCCGTTGATTTTATGGCTGATAAATTTTTTGGTGAGGGGAAAATGTTCTAAGGAAATATGCAGTCTTCCATGGCTGACTTGGTTGACTGGCTTTTATGCTAATGTTGCTTTAGTAATGTAGAGTGGCTAAATGGTTAGCGCTTCCACCTGGCAGTACTAGCGTCGTTGGTTCAAATCCCAACCATGGCACCACCTGCCTGAAGTTTGCATGTTCTCCCTGTGCCTGCGCGGGTTTCCTCCGGGTACTCCGGTTTCCTCCCACGCTCCAAAGACATGCTGGTAGGTTAATTGGCTCCTGACTAAATTGGCCCTAGTATGTGTGCATATGAATGTGAGTTAGGGACCTTAGATTGTACACCCCTTGAGGGTTAGGGACTGATGTGAATGTACAATATATATGTAAAGCGCTGCGTAAATTGACAGCGCTATACAAGTACCTATAATCAGTTAATACTGGAATCTTCTACTCTTCCAACCAGTCCACCCCCCACAATTACTACCTTTTTGTACCACTAGCCCCTCCCTCCTAGATTGTAAGCTCCCATGATCAGGCCCTCCTATCCCTCTTGTATTGAACTGTATTGTTGCTGTATTGTCTCCCGTTATATTGTAAAGCTCTGAGCAAACTGTTGGCGCCTATATAAATCCAGTATAATAATAATGGTGTCACTGACCCAGCACCAGGATGCAGAAGTTTGACATCACTGGTCATGTGCAAGGAGATGAGCGATGGCTACCCCGTCCTTATACACGTTTCTTTTAAAACATGGCGGTAATCTTCCCAGATAGACCGTATTGACACCTGTTTTCTGTAAAACCCTTGGCATTAGCTGTGCTCGAAGCTGTGGTCCAGGGGACTCTTCCAGCCATGTGCAGCATTCAGAGCATCATCTGTGAGGAGAAGATGTAATGAATGTGCAATCCTGTATTAGAAACCTCTCACACATGGCCTGTTCCGTTCCAGCCTATTCATTCTTCAGTGTTCGGTCTAAGAGCAGCCAAGTGTTCTGGCTGATATGCAGGCCTATTCAAGGTGCCCATTATTTCTCTGCAGTAATTGGCTCATTGGTATTGGAAGCTTTGCTATCGCAGGCCTTATGTGTGTGTTTAAAGGATATGTGTGCTTTCAGGAAAAATTGCAGTAATAAGCAAATGATTGGTTGCCAAATTGTACATATATACTGTGTTTTCTTCCAGAAAGGCATGGTTTTGTTTTCTTTGCTATACAGCAATGAGGAAGATGAGGGGCATTTTGTGTCAGACATCCATTATTTAGGATGAGCCAGCCTGAAACAGATGCCTTTCCCTTACCCTTCACTCTGACATATGCTACCTGTCACTGTCAAGAGTGATGGAGGATGCTGCTACTGTGCGGACTCAAGTAGACCAAGCAGATAAAGACCATTTGTTAAAAAAAAAAAAGTTACCCGTTATGTTTAGATTTGGGCAGCATGTTGTCTCCCTGTTGCTGAACTAAGATTTGCATCAAAAGTACAAAAGGCTGATCTTACCCTGGCAAATCTGATCAACCAATATAACACTCTTGCCCCTATTGGTCTGGTTATTGTTACCTAAGGGGAAATAATTAATTCTGTGACACCACTGCTTCTACAACAGCGATCAAGAACCAACCGCCATCTTTGCAGTGTCAGAGTGATCACATGACTTTTACAAGCTGGCATTGTAAACATTGTATCCCAAAATCCAGCATGCGCTATCATGCAGATTGTAACCACAGCTAAAATCGTCATGCTCCTGACACCGCTCTTAACTTCAAGAACTTCTATATCGGTCACCAACACTATATCGGTCACCAACGCAAGAAAGGTAGAATGACTTAAGTTTCAGAGCTTCTGACACACTCTAAAGCAGACATTCTCAGCTTGGGTTCCTCTAGAGCAGGGGTCTCCGAACTTTCTAAACAAAGGGCCAGTTTATTGTCCTTCAGACTTTATGGGGGCTGGACTGTGGCCAGCGGGAGTGGAAAGTTTCCTGGCATTGATAGGAGTAAATATCACCACATTTGGTATTATTGGGAGGAATAGTGCCCCATTCTTGGTATCGGTGGGAGGAATAGTGCCCCATCATTGGGAGGAATAGTGCCCCATCATTGGGAGGAATAGTGCCCCATCATTGGGAGGAATAGTGACCCATCATGGGAGGAATAGTGACCCATCATTGGGAGGAATAGTGACCCATCATTGGGAGGAATAGTGCCCCATCATTGGGAGGAATAGTGCCCCATCATTAGGGAGGAATACTGCCCCATCATTGGGAGAAATAGTGCCCCATTCTTGGTATCGGTGGGAGGAATTGTGCCTCATCATTGGTATCATTGGAAGGAATAGTGCCCATCATTGGTGTGAATGGGAGGAATAGTGCCCCATTATTGGTATCAGTTGGCAGAATCGTTTTTTGTATCCATGGGAGGCTCCAAAGGCCGGAAAAAAGACAAGCAAAGGGCTACATCCGAAGACGACTGCTCTAGAGGTTGCTTGGGGTTTCTTGAGATTTGACTGATTGGCCTCCTATTTGATAATACCATGATTCTGGGGCCATTGCCACTTGACAGAGCCAGCAGCATGACACAATATCTTTTTTAGTATTCTTTAAGGCTCAACATATAGGTTACATTATGGATGTACAGTCAACTTTAGATTTACCAAAACTATGTAACGTGAGGAACTACCCAGTCTATCCAATCAATCTCTATCCAACCAAGAAGACCCTTGCACTACATACTTGTAGTAGATCTAAAGGAGGTAGTACAGATTGTAGGGTGTATAGTGAGTTTAAGAGTGGCATTCTGACCACCACTGTAAGGGGGGCATTCATCACACTGACCACCAAAGAATTGTTTTAGCAGGGGTTCCCTGAGACTTGAAAATTATTTCAAGGTTTCCTCTGGGGTAAAAAGACTGAGAAAGGCAGCTCTAAAGTTTGGTTTTCTGCAGTCTTGGATGCAGTTTACCCACTTTATAGCCCTCATCGGTACCCTTTGGGCTGTCCAATGAGTTTATTTGTTTAAAGGGTATGTAAACCCTAACAATGAACTTCACTTATTTGCTCCCTTTTTGTCTGTTAAAGATACCATTGAAAACATTTTTGTTATATCTACTAAAAGAGGGCAAAGAAATGCCTGTGGAGCCTGACAGAAATTCACTGAGTTGCTATAATGAACTGACAACACTGTGCTGAAATACCACAAAATGTTATAAGCCCAATCTGAGTTCCCTCTGTGAAGTACAGACACACCCCCCTCTGTTGTAGAGATGAGTTTTGTAGCCCTGTCATAATTCTGCTTTAGGGGACAATGCTGCTCTTATGTAGATACAGTATAGGGAGTGTTGTCACTGTAGGACTGAAAGTATGTTACTGACAGGATCACCGGGTGAAAAAAACCTTAAAAAAAACAATTCAGCCATCACTTGTAAGTCCTAGTTCACATTGAAGGCGACTTTGAAATTGCGCTACTTCACTTGAAGTAGCGCGATTCCAAAGCTACAGGCCATGCCATTTCATGTGTGACTTATCTGACATCTGGGCGACCTCCTGCACAAATGTCTATACAAGTCACACATGAAATCGCAAAAAAATAGTGCAGGAACCTTTTTTCCAAGTCTAGAGTCACACTGAATTGAACGGTTCCATAGGCACACATAAGGATTGATTTGTCGTGCGATTTGGTACTGTCAAAGTCTCACCAGTGTGAACCAGGGCAAAGACCAGTAAACTGCAATGTGTTACATTTTTGTGTTCTTGGGTTTAGATCAGGGATCTTCAAACTTTCAAAACAAAGGACCAGTGTACTGTCCTTTAAACTTTAGGGGATCCAGACTGTGGCCAGTGGGAGTAGAAAATGCCATGACATCCTTGGGAATAAACACTGCCATAGGCTAGGTGGTCAGATTAGTGCCCCATCTTTTGTGTCAGGGAGAGGAATAGTGCTCCACCATTGAGGTTAGTGGAGTTAGTTCCCCAAAGGATGGATAAAGGCAAGCAAGGGGCCACAACCGTCCCCCGGGCCACAGTTTGGAGACCACTGATTTTAGATGCACAATAATCATTTGTTAATTTTTTTTATTGCATTTTATGTGCTAAGCTGCAAACAAAATCTTACTTGCTTACTAACTTGAATTAATTGAACTGTAATTAAACTGCACTCTTTTTTTTGTGTCTCCACAGCTGTACTATCAGGTCTTGAATTTTGCCATGATAGTATCATCAGCCCTCATGATATGGAAAGGCCTTATTGTAGTCACTGGTAGCGAGAGCCCTATAGTTGTCGTACTAAGGTACCTACAGACCCACTGTTACTTTTCACTTTACTGTTTGCGCAGTTTGGAGTATTGATATATACGTTGCCAGGGTGGATAAAAATCAATGATTTTTAAAAAATAAATAAAAAAAAATCGGATTTTTTTTTATTTAAATCGGATTTTTTTTTGATTTAAATCGGATTTTTTTATTTAAATCGGAGGGGTATACTCCTTGTTATTAGCTTGCACATTTTTCGTGATGCTCAGGTTGATTTGACATATCTTTTCAACTCAGGAATATCTGACATTATATTGGAATGTGTATTCTTTTGTTTAATTTTGGTAACGAAAAAAATGTTTATTGCCTGAGTAATTCCCATAGATAAAACCCTTAGCCCTAAAATGAGTTTATCTTCAGCCTTGCTATAGTCTCAACGAATACCTGCCTTCATAGCTGCATGATCTATTTTGGTTAATGCCTGCATGTTCCTTTGAAAGAGTAACCAAATTCTCCTTCCTTAAAAATTATTTTCAGAAACCAAGAAATAGTTCTTAATTCTTAGTTTTGTTTTAGCCTAGTGCTAATCAGGTCGTTAGCATGAGGTATAGTGCTGATCAGGACGCTTGTATGATGGTGAATGAGGATGCTGGTATGGGGTATAGGGGTGATCAGGATGCTGGTATGGGGTATAGGGGTGATCAGGATGCTGGTATGAGGTATGGCGGTGATCAGGATACTGGTATGGGGTATGGCGGTGATCAGGATACTGGTATGGGGTATGGCGGTGATCAGGATACTGGTATGGGGTATGGCGGTGATCAGGATACTGGTATGGGGTATGGGGTATGGCGGTGATGACAGGATGCTGGTATAAGGTATGACAGTGATCAGAACACTATTATGGGGTATGGCAGTGATCAGAATGCTGGTATGGGGCATGGTGGTGATCAGGATCCTGGTATAGGGCATGGTGGTGATCAGGATGCTGGTATGAGGCATGGTGATGATCAGGATGCTAGAATGGGGCATGGTGGTGATCAAGGTGTTGGTATGGTGTATTGCAGTGATCAGGGCGCTTGTATGGTTTATGGAGGTGATCAGGGCGCTTGTATGGTTTATGGAGGTGATCAGGGCGCTGGTATGGTTTATGGAGGTGATCAGGGCGCTGGTATGGTTTATGGAGGTGATCAGGGCGCTGGTATGGTTTATGGAGGTGATCAGGGCGCTGGTATGGTTTATGGAGGTGATCATGGCGCTGGTATGGTTTATGGAGGTGATCAGGGCGCTGGTATGGTTTATGGAGGTGATCAGGGCGCTGGTATGGTTTATGGAGGTGATCAGGGCGCTGGTATGGTTTATGGAGGTGATCTGGGCGTTGGTATGGTTTATGGAGGTGATCATGGCGCTGGTATGGTTTATGGAGGTGATCATGGCGCTGGTATGGTTTATGGTGGCGATCAGGGCATTGTATGGTTTATGGAGGTGTTTAGGGCGCTGGTATGGTTTATGGAGGTGATCAAGGCGCTGGTATGGTTTATGGAGGTGATCAGGGCGCTGGTATGGTTTATGGAGGTGATCAGGGCGCTGGTATGGTTTATGGTGGTGATCAGGGCGCTGGTATGGTTTATGGTGGTGATCAGGGCGCTGGTATGGTTTATGGTGGTGATCAGGGTGCTGGTATGGTTTATGGAGGTGATCAGGGCGCTGGTATGGTTTATGGAGGTGATCATGGCGCTGGTATGGTTTATGGTGGCGATCAGGGCATTGTATGGTTTATGGAGGTGTTTAGGGCGCTGGTATGGTTTATGGAGGTGATCAAGGCGCTGGTATGGTTTATGGAGGTGATCAGGGCGCTGGTATGGTTTATGGTGGTGATCAGGGCGCTGGTATGGTTTATGGAGGTGATCAAGGCACTGGTATGGTTTATGGTGGTGATCAGGGCGCTGGTATGGTTTATGGTGGTGATCAGGGCGCTGGTATGGTTTATGGTGGTGATCAGGGCGCTGGTATGGTTTATGGTGGTGATCAGGGCGCTGGTATGGTTTATGGTGGTGATCAGGGCGCTGGTATGGTTTATGGTGGTGATCAGGGCGCTGGTATGGTTTATGGAGGCGATCAGGGTGCTGTAAGTCATATGGTGGTGATCAGGGTGTTGATGTATGGGGATGTTTTTAATGAATTCACAGACATTTCTAAAATTCTGTAATTTATGGGCTACTGACTATAGATTAAGGAGAAAAAAAATTAATTTAAACCACCAATGTCAGGCTGCAACATAAGAAAAACTGATAAAAGTGAAGGAAGTTTGAATACTTTATAAATTTGGTAATATCTGAACTCCCATCTTTTGTTTGTTTAATTTTGGTGACTTTCTAGGTAGTAAAATATGGATGGCTACAGTATCTTGAAGGTTGCACCATTAAACTATAGTAGCAATGTTAGCAGTGTATTTCCCTGAAAATTAGAGGTACCAGGAGGAACCAGTGTACTTTGGTCCCACATTCAAGATATAAACTGTTTTTTAAATGCTGATAAAGGAGGCCCTTTAAAACCCCTGAAACCTGTTGATTTATTTTTATGATGCAGTAAACTCTTCATGGCCTCACATTTGCTTTTTTTTTTTTTTTTTTTTTTTCTGTACACTTTAAAGAAATGTCAGAACACAAATAGGAGAGCTCCAAAGTGGTATTAAACCCAAAAGTAAAATTATTATTAAAGCGCAGATTACCATTCTTTTTGTAAAACATTTTTTCAGCTGTTTTTTTCCCTTTAATTTTCATCTGGTGATCTGACCAGCAAGTCTGTTACAGTACTTTTCTATTTCCTTTAACAGACCAAGCTGTCCTGACAAAGTGCCAGGTAGAGAGTTGAGACAAACCATTTAATACTGACAGAGGTACTTACAATGGTCAGTTGTTGTTCATTTACATAAAGCATTTATCCCGAAAGGAAAAAAATTGTTTTCTGTACTGCCTAGCTGGAGTGCAGCTTCAGTTTGTTAGTCAGTATAATAATAATAATAGCGCAGCGCTACAACTTACAAAACAATATACTTATTAAAATAAGTGATATAAGATCCATAAATATATAAAACATGCAAAAACAACACAAAAACATTTAAAATGGTGATAAGATCGATGCAGATCTATTTAGTGTCAAAAACCTCTAAAGTGCCCAAAAACTGTGTACTGAGGTCCTCTCCAAGGCCTCTTGAAGTGCAATCAAATAACTCCACACACAAATAATAAAATATTTGTATAATATAAATCCAGCAACCCCTAAACACCCCTACTCTCCCATGCAGACCTTGGTTAAAAACAAAAGACCCTGAGGAAGTCACATGATGTTAGTGACGCATCATCAACGTGATGGTACGCGGTGACGCAGTTCCAGTACGCAGTGACGCACATCCGCCGTGGACATTTATCTTAGGACACCCATTTCCTGTAACCCATGCAGTACACCATAGCATGATGTTTTAAAGCATGTGTATTGCTGTTTACAAGTGAGTGGGCATTTATTATTTAAATATTATATAAATAATATTATAAAATAATATTTTATTATTTGTGTGTGGAGTCATTTGATTGCACTTCAAGAGGCCTTGGAGAGGACCTCAGTACACAATTTGTGGGCACTTTAGAGTTTTTTGACACTAAATAGATCTGCATTGATCTTATCACCATTTTAATTGTTTTTGCTTTGTTTTTTGCATGTTTTATATATTTATGGATTTATTCATCATATATAACTTATTTTAATAAGTATATTATTTTGTAAGTTGTAGCGCTGCACTATATTATTATTATTATTATATTGCACAAGCTTGAAAGGTATTAGCTAAGAGTGTTGGCCGCTTTAATACACACAATGATCACTCCAATTAAGCGCAGGAGGAATTTTTTAGTTAGTTTGTTAGTCAGGTCCATCTAAATCTGCTAGTCTACCACTGCCCTCCTGCCAGACTAACAATACTGCTGTCCAAAGATGTCTCTGTTGCTCCTCCACCTATAGGGGTGACACCCTAAGACAGGGAGTGTTACTGATTTGAATCACCAAGTGAGAATAAAGGAAACAAAAAGGAATGGTAGGCCCTAATATATGACCTTTTTGGTTTCAATACCACTTTAATGGCAGCCATTGTGAGAGTGAGCACAGTGGTCATAGTATTTCAGGGGTCGTCGTAAATCTGAAGTACAACCTACCTACATGGTTCACAGTCTGGGATTAACTCAGCTTTGCTTTAGCCAGAATAATGCTTTGTTCATTTTCATATTGTATAGATTTGTTTGTGACTTTCTCATTTTCCATGTATGAGGACTATGTTTGAGTTTTGTAATAGAATGTCGGTCTCTTGTTGATCTTAAGACATAGGTGTCTTGTCCTCTTGCAGTGGCAGTATGGAACCAGCATTTCACCGGGGAGACCTGCTTTTCCTAACAAACTTCCAGGAAGACCCCATCCGAGCTGGAGAAATTGTGGTGTTCAAAGTAGAAGGAAGGGATATCCCTATAGTTCACAGAGTCATCAAAGTTCATGAAAAGTAATGTATCATTATTTGTTTTTCATTATTATGAGTCATTGGTACAAAGCACTTTTTCTAGGGCTCCTCCCCAGGTGTTAAAGAAGTTGTATAGGCTCAAGCTTTCTTACCTTTATGCATTCTATGTATGAAGGTAAAAAACCTGTGTGCAGAAGCCCCCCCATAATACTTACCTGAGCCCCATCACAATCCAGCGATGTGCACAAGATCCTTGGCTCTCCCAGGACTCTCCCTCCATATTGGCTGAGACAGCAGCGGGAGCCATTGGCCGAAGGCTCCTGTTCACATCGCTGAATGGAGAGAGGGCTGAGGTGAGTATTATGGGGGCCGTGGGGGAGGGAGCAGCACACAGAAGGTTTTCTCCTTCATGTATAGAATGCATGAAGGTAAAAAAACCTAAAGCCTTCACAATCACTTTAGGCATATTTTTTTGTGTACTCCATAAACTGTTAAGGTGGCCATAGATAACCCCCTTTTTTTTTTTTTTTTTTTTTTTTAACAAGCCAGTGGGCTGAAAAAACAAACAAACAGATTTCTTCATTCACACAAGCATGATGGATAAAGGAATCATCCCTGCTGAGACATTGGGGTTGATTTACTAAAACTGAAGAGTGCAAAATCTGGTGCAGTTGTGGATGGCAACCAATCAGCATCTAACTTCAGTGTGTTCAGTTAGGCTTTGACAAAATACCTGGATGCTGATTGGTTTCTGTGCAGAGCTGCTCCAGTTTTAGTAAATCAACCCCATTGTATTCTGACAGACTTATCTGATCAACAAAAGTTTTTCAACATTCCTGTTCCACAAAAGTCAACCTAACGTTAGCCATACATGGGCTGAAATTGGACTGCTGATCCAGCTGAATTTCAATCCATTTGTGGCCAGCTTTCGTTGGTGAAGAAGTCTAATAATTTGTATTATCCATCAATCTAAGTATCCTCCCATTTTGCCTCCTATCCTGACTCTTTGTGTTTGATTTTCAGGGAAAATGGGGACATTAAGTTCCTGACCAAAGGTGATAACAATGAAGTTGATGACCGAGGTCTATATAAAGAAGGCCAGAACTGGCTGGAAAAGAAAGACGTTGTAGGCAGAGCGAGAGGGTGAGTTGTAGTCTCCTTTGTGTCGGAGGATGTTTATTAGCGGTTTACACATTTGCTGTGGGGCTCTGGGACCCTCAGTTTATTTCCTACCAGGGCTTTCTCATATGTAGAGTACATGAATTTGTACCAACTAATGTGTGTATCATCATACGTAGCTGTCATAGCACCGTTAGATTATAGACTCCGGTAGGGGACACATTGGTTGGAAATTGTATGTGTGCTTTGTAACTCTATCAGAAATAAAACAATGCACATTAGTATATTAAAAGGCAATTTATATTCTTTGGTATTTTTTTTTTTCTTTAGCTAGGAGGTAAAAAATCTGTTCCAGGATTGATCTAGCACTGTGCCTAAGAACAGCGGCTCTCCCCCTCCTCACAAGGCAGGAGCTATTCGCTCCTGCTGCTGTCAATGAAATCCTTTGAGGAAGGAGTGGGGGGTAAGGCTGAGCAGCGCTGTTTGTGTCTATAGACGCAGGCAGCTTGGCTCTGGATTGAGCCTGCATGAGTGCCTCCTCAGGAGGCGGCTTCCTATGGAGGCACTCTCCGAAGAGGTGGAGCCAAGAGCGTCAGCGGGGTCCCCAGAAGAGGAGGCTTGGGACAGCTCTGTGCAGAAGCATTGCACAGAGCTGGTAAGTAAAACATATGTCAATATATAGAAAAATCTTGTGAGCTGCTATTCTGAGTGCAAATACCAAATAATAATATAAGCAATATAAATACTGTGTAAATAATTGTGAATCGCTGACACCATACACATACCTAAACAAATGTGTTAATTATAATTAAATAGCAATGTAGTGCCACGCTCCACTAACAATAATACACAACTTAAATCATCTATCACATGATCTATTAAATAAGCGTCCATTCCGGAATCTTTGGCTTTTTCCATCCACTATTATGTAGAAATGGAAAGTTTCTTAGTTCACCTCGTGTAGTATATTCAAACCAATATGTGTGCACCTGCACCGGTTGTGCTCTCACCTTATGTATATGACCAAATTGCTAAGTAAGGTCATATAGAGCATGTGTATCTTAATTGGACTGTGGTGGGATGGTAATGCTGGCCAGTGGGTCTGGGTCTCCTCCTCCTCCTCCTCCATCAGATCAATGCCAAAAAAAAAAATAACCAAAACATAGTTCTTTATCCTTACAAAACATTTATTTTAAAATATGCAGTATTCCACTCGCATGTAAAAAGGTGAATAAGCGCTTATTTCAAAATAATTCCTCAAGAGTGCCGCTATCGATCTTGTTCAGCCATCCTTCATACACAGCCAGCTGACATCTCGCTCTACTGCTTACCGAGCGTCGTGACATCAAAGCCCCTCCCAGTGGCGTCCCTAGGGGGTCGGGCCGCACCAGGTGACACCATCACAGGGGGTGCAGGAGCAGGATGCCAGCAGAGCTTCTGGGCTCTTTAAAGGTCCTGGCCAGTTATTGGTGTGATCCCGGCACAGTGACAACTGTCCCTGTGGTATCGGTAAAATGAGTATCCCATGAAGATATGTAGATATCCCGCTGAAGCTGAACCCGCGGATCACTATGGGTTGCAAGATCAGTTAACCACGTATAGTTTGCAAGCTGACGATCCCCGCAAGATGGATGGGATCTGCGGACTGGGGAGCATAATGCATCGGAGAGAGGACAGTGACATTGGGGTGGGGGGGTTTGCAACCCATAGTGATCCACGGGATCAGCTTCAGCGGTTTGCAGCCTGTAAGGGGTTGACTGTGGCAGCTCTGTGCTAAAGTCGGATTTCGGCTTCTTCAGCCTGAAACCGGCACATGCGCAGTTACTTCAGGGGATACATATCTTCATGGGATACTCATTTTACCGCTACACCGGCACCGCTCCTTCCTCTCTGGAGGGGTGACACCATGTGTTACAGCACCGGGTGACACCAACCCTAGGGACACCTCTGGCCCCTCCCCTACGCTTTGCGTCACAGGTTCAGCTATATACTGCTCTATGTAAAAAGAGGGCACAGCGCTAAGGATAATACAATTACCTCTGATATATAAACATACAGTAATCAATATAGGAATATGTGACTATCTTGTGCTAAAACAACGTGCCAAAGAAGTCCTTAAAAGTAACAAAATGGTGGTTCAAAACGTTCGTCTTCCGGTGATCAAAATTAATTGAATCATGCACTCACCAGATGCATAATTCAAATATGCATGTAGATGATATCCCGATATCCAAGCGAAGTTATCTTAAAGTCGGATATGGCATCGTAAGATCATCATCTAGGCACATCTGCCCGTCCGAGTTCTCCTTATGGATCGTGTGTTTCCACACTAAAACACCTCTCAGCTGTCTTCCCAGGTGGTTCTGCGGGTGGTGGACTCAACAGGGTCCCAAGAAAGAAAGCCAGGATGGTGTGATATTGTTTTAAACGAAAAAATTTATTGATCCAAAAACAAGACAAGGACTAAACAAACAGAACTGACCATAAAAGGTGTACAAAGATGGCCGCCGCTCCATGCAGTGGCGTGATGTCTGGGGTATGCTGCTCTTACACTGACGCGTTTCGTGCTAAATGCACGTATTCATAGGGAGTGTGTCAGCTGCTCTGCAACACATTCTATGTGAGAATGCTTTGCATTCATTGAGGAAATGCCAAGCTTTCACTGAATGGTGTCTGTGCAAACTGAGGGACCCCATGATGTTACTGTGCAGCAGGACAACTGCTCGGCTCAGGATCTGGAAGACAGGTGAGGATCACTGTAGTGGTGGTGGCTATTATAGTGATTCTCTGCTTCCACAGGGATTAGATATACATTAAGGTCATAGCCTTGTCAGACTTGAAAAGGTAAGTGTTGCAGAGTCTGCAGAAATTGCCAGAATACAGATTTATAAGTGAAATTTGCTCCTTGATCTGAGTTTTCATACACATTACAATTCAGCGCTCTATTTCTGTCACCTTGTAATTTACTACATTTGAGATGTTTGGCAGTCACCAGCAATTTATATGGAGCTGTCAAATTCAACATGTACTGATCACACGCACTGTACGCCAATGCAGCAATGCACAGTACTCCTGTCTGTATTATTAGGACCATTGTGCAGATTATACAGATTTTCCTGTAATGGTCAGCCAATGTCGATCTGTGCCCTGCACGGATGTGTAGATTATCACGGACTGCTGTTAACCATTTACACACAGATGTGCATGCTGGATTGTGGACCTTTTTAAATATTTTGTATTTTTGCTGTGATATGGCTCTTACTACAGCCAGGGTGACTGTGAAGAAGCCCCATATACTGATTCCCAGCTGGTGTTCACATCATTTGACAGTGATCGGCAGACAAAGCTATTTTTTTTGTGTTTTTAAAAGTGTATGTGAAGGCCAAAATAAAAAATATATGCAATATATCCATACTTTTTTTCAATGTTTTATCCTTTTAATGATCCCACAGAAATTAGCTGTTGTGAGCTGACAGTGCAAGGTATTTTCCGGAATGAAATCACAAGGATTGGTGTCAGCCATGTCTACTTATTACTTGTCCTTTGTCGAACTGCTCCCCTCTCATCTTCTCTAAAGCATAGTGGGGTGGTATTCTACTTGTGATAACACAGGCAACGTTAATGGGATATCTCGGGTTTTCTGGCAGGATTAACAGGTTATTTTTTATTTTGTTTGTTTTTTTTGGAACAGCTATAACAACACACTATCACTAGTACATTTAACAGACTAAAAGAACCAAAGTGCATTATTAGGGTTTACATACATGGTCTGCCTCCTGCCCCTTACAGTTGAACACAAAGCTGTATTTTTCCCACTTAGATAAATGGTAACATGCAACATCGCTGCCTAAACATTATTTACATCTCGCCTTGAAGGAGTGATTCACACGCAAGTGCAGTATGACCTTAACCTTGAGTCGTTCTGAATGAATAAGGGCTCTATCGTGTGTGGAAGGGACTGCTGCTGCTCTGGAAATCAATCCATGCTCTGATCGCTTTACAGAGGTGTTTGACAGGCGTGAAGAAGTAATATGTCTCCTCCTCACCATCCTGTAATTGCTGTACTACGTGGCTGCAGTCTGTTTTAGTGCATTCCTATAGAACTGCAGCACGTGTGCAGATGTGAGCAGCTGTATGTTAGTGTTTAGGTAGGCAGTGGGGGGTGCAAAAACCTCAGTTTATCTGCCTGGATTTATTACCCCTGGCCACACGTGTAGTGAGGTCATTCTGCTACTGATCTGCCACCAATGACTACACATGTTGACATCTCAGCTCTGAAATCACTAGGAAGCAGCAGTGGTACATATGGTCCGTTTGTGCCCCATGCATGTAAAATGTTTGCACATGTGTACATCATAAAATAAATTGGTACACATGTCAAACGTTTACATGTGTACATCATACAATAAAGTAAAAATCCATCCTTGGATACAAATTTTCTTGTTTTGGTTAACACCATTAAACTCTGTGGACCAAAACTGAGCTGTGTAAATGGACCTAAAACTACTGTATTCTCATCTACAGTCAGGTCCATAAATATTGGGACATCGACACAATTCTAACATTTTTGGCTCTATACACCACCACAATGGATTTGAAATGAAACAAACAAGATGTGCTTTAACTGCAGACTGTCAGCTTTAATTTGAGGGTATTTACATCCAAATCAGGTGAACGGTGTAGGAATTACAACAGTTTGCATATGTGCCTCTCACTTGTTAAGGGACCAAAAGTAATGGGACAATTGGCTTTGCAGCTGTTCCATGGCCAGGTGTGTGTTTTTTCCCTCATTATCCCAATTACAATGAGCAGATAAAAGGTCCAGAGTTCATTTCAAGTGTGCTATTTGCATTTGGAATCTGTTGCTGTCAACTCTCAAGATGAGATCCAAAGAGCTGTGACTATCAGTGAAGCAAGCCATCATTAGGATGAAAAAACAAAACAAACCCATCAGAGAGATAGAAAAAACATTAGGCGTGGCCAAACAACTGTTTGGGACATTCTTAAAAAGAAGGAACGCACCGGTGA